AGAGAGAGAGAGAGAGAGAGAGAGAGAGAGAGAGAGAGAGAGAGAGAAGAAAAACGACAAGTGGACAGTTCGGACATAGCAGGTGCTGGCTGGTCAACAATGAACATGCGTCTGGTTTGCGCATACGCGAACACTTTCTACTTACAAGAGTGATGAATCAACGATGTGACAAAGAAACCATCGAATTACGGAAAGTTTGCGATTGGGAAACGAAGCCGAGTACTTAGTATCGTCATAGTATCGTTAGTATCGTCTCAGTATTGATAATCTCGTAATATCAATACTTGATTTTGAATCAAGTATTGAAGGAGAATGCAAATAGTGCACTTGTGGAAAAAGCTCTGTTGTAGAAATATTTCGCTATAAAATTACAATATTGCGAATACATAAACTTAGCTTTGTAAAATTAAACTTAGTAACGATTGCACCATCATTCTAAAAGGTTAAATCAGTTCTAGTTCTACTTTTCTTTAGCTATTTCTTGAGCCTTTTATTTTTAAAACGCGTAAAATGTATTCAATCCACAAAGATTATCATTTCTCTCTCTCTCTCTCCCCCTCTCTCCCGTTATGTAGCAATACATTTTGATTCATCAGTACCATGCCAAGCTGTGCGTCTTGTCGTACAAATTTGTCGGATCCTTCTTTTGTGTACTAGTCACGTACACGAAGGCAAAGATTCCAAGAATTTTGAGAAAGATGCGTGCCAGAAAAAATTTGTCTTGGCGTCTTTTACCTACTTGTGGGGCATGGGCATGGACGTGGTCGAAGATACCTGGGCCCAGGTAGGAAATACGGATGATCGTCATGCTTGGGTCACGATGCTGTGCTGCCTTGACGAGGGTCGGACGTAAGGGTGCATCGTGTGGTACGTTCCGAAGAGCCAACAATAAAATCCAGGGATTCTCATTTAAGCTTCCGTTCGTGAGAATGCAGTACAAAAGTAATATTTCAACGGCAAGGTCATTTTACCGTAAAAAAATGTGTTATTTTAGAAAGAGTAGCGTTACAAATTCTGAACAAAATTGATACCAGATAATTATACAAATATATTTAATATGACACAGTAATCACGCAAAAAATTTGTAATTAATGGACCAATGCTTTGTTGGTATCTGTATTTCGGACAATACATGTACCGTATGAACAACACGTGGGTGGGTTAATGGAAATGATCACCGTGCAATAGTGTATGAACAATGGTACACGAGGCCCTAAGGTTGAGATATGCTATATTGGAAGCTGCGGAACCAGGTCGGATTTGGGTTCAGGATAGTAGATCCTGTACACGCTATCCGAAGGGAGAGAGAACGAGGGTTGGAGCCTTTTATGCCGAGGGGTCCCCGGGTAGACTATGGCCTCGGTCCTTTTTGTTCGGACCATCGAAGCGGCAGCGGAAAAAGTTCTTTCAGTGTCGAGTAGGCCTGCCGCTCCTGCGAATTGCGCAGAACGACTAGCTGATTGATTGTTTTGCCGTCAACATTTCGCATGTTAGTACATAAACTATACTAATTAGTTAATTAGATCCCAAGATATTCCGAGTGGTTATACATATAATGTTCTTATATCGCAGAAATATAAAATTATTAAGATAATAAAGTTTTGTTATAAACAAATTCATACATATTAAAAAGATAATTTTGGAAAAGTTTAGTGTTTTATATAGAATTGTAAATTCTATTTATTATCGATATGTATTTTCTTATTTCACCTACGTAGTGGAAAAAAGAACACTAAAATCGAAAGTGGAGGCAAAACGAATTTGCGGAAAAAAGGAAACGAATACAGGTAGACAGGGAAGACTTAGGACGACGATCCTTTAGAAACTTTAGAAAACTGCACAAGAAATCTCTTGGAAATTTCGAAACCTTTAAGACACAGAAAGAAATAAATTCTCAGAAAGATCCAAAATTTGAAGATTTTCACTAAGTTTTCTGTGCGTGGGATCTCTTGTAACATTTGAATAATTGTAATACTGAAAGATCGTTTTCAGAGCCCAATTGTAGTATAACTTGGATCTCAAAAAGTTATATTCGAATATAATACAAACTTATTTCAGGTAAAACAATAGAGTTTACAAATAGATAAATAAAATTAAAATAATAAATATTTATCTTACTTTCCAAATTTCGAAAATCAAACAATTTGCCCTTGAATTCAGGCAAAAATGTCAAGTTGAGTAATATATTGTAAAAAAGAAAAAAATTAAAGCTATTCACATCTGCAATTAGTGCTATTCTCACACGAATTTTCCTCAACTAAACTTTGCAAACTGTCAGATTTTCGAACATCGTAAATCCATTAAACAGATCGATGCATCATTGACTTCCTTTCAAATTGTAGGAATTATTTGGATTTAAATCTTGGACATTTCAACTTGAAACAGTTCGAATAACTCGACCATGCAATTCGTTCGAATCTGTCCGAGCCTTACTCTCAATTCCCAAGTCTACATAATAGTACGTACATGAAGAGATAGACGTGTTGTATTTTAAGTTACTGCATGCATTGGCATACCGAAAACTCCTCGAGATAGAGGAGGGACAATCGCGAGTGTATCCCGTAAGTCGTAAATGATGGGAGGAACGTAATGAAAATCGTAGGAAGTCCTCTCCGAGAATTGTTGGAGCCGTTCGACAACGGAATAAAACGAGAGAGACTTTACAGTTAGGTGGCTCTTGAAATGCGCGCGAATAGATGCGTCGTACAGCTGGTCGCAGCGAGTGAGCGAACGAGCGAGTCGAGCGACTGCGCCTGGCTATTCCTTCGGTCGGCAAGCCAAGTCATCCAGCTAGCCTAGCTAACTCAGTACGCTAGTTGGATCGGAGCCTGCAGGGTTGGGTGTTGGTGAAAGGTGTGGCCGCATTAGCCATACGAGAAAAGGAGAATACAATATTCTAACCGCGGTGCGCGATATTCACCGACAATGAGCGCGTTGGGATGACGAGGACGACAACGAGGAGGGTAATCACTCTCGTTTTGGCGTTTCCTTCTCTTCGCCGTCGTCATCCGACGCAATAATCGCGGTAGGCACGCTGTAGCGAGGTAAAGAGAAGGGGAGGGGGAAAGAGGGAGGTAGGGAGGGAAAGAGATAGATCGAGAGAGATAGAGAGAGAGAGAGAGAGAGAGAAAGACCGCGGATGCGGAGACATCAACTGGAAAAAAACCATGGGCGTACAGGTGGTCGGCAGCGAAACGGTCGAAGAGTACCGCTTAATGGGATTCAACGACCTGCGTATACGATGGTTGGGTCGGATCTAAGTACATCGGCTTGTATCGGCCTATTACGCCCGCTTGCCGATTCCGGCAACATGGCACATCAGAGCACCTCTTGCAAGTTTACTCCCCGGGCGGGATCAATCGCGCTCGCGTCACCAATATTCAAAATGGACGAATATTTTAACCGTGAAAATAAAAATTTCTCTGTTTGTTGTGGCGAGAGACAAATCGTCACGTAGCCGTCAAAGCTTGGCTCGTGGCTAATCGCGCTGTATTAAAAACTACCAATTAACAAACGCGAGTAAGCAAACTGCTTAGTCTTCACTTAATTTTAAGTAGCCTTTACTTGAAGTTTTCATTCAGAGATTACATGGAGATACTTGTAGGAATGTCGAACTGCAAAAGAAAGGCGTAATATATCCCGTCGAATATTCGTTAAGCTGAGGTCAATTCCGATGTCAGAGAGGAAAGGAATTGTGCACGAGTGTGCAACATCTTTCTCTGTAAATTCTATGTCGATAGATATCGCGCATTCGTTCCGAGCGAACGATTCGCCGCTCAGCTTATTTTCTTGCTTTCTTTGCTAAGGACAATCCGCAAGCTCGCTCGCTAGGTTAGTCGCGCGCCAAATCGGCGATCGGCGGAAATTCCCGCGGAGAGAACAAGATTTTTCGCGTCATAAATTCTTGCGGGAGGAGAGCGATCCAAGATCTTTGCCCGTAGCGGTACCGTCCTTGCCCGATCGCCTCGAGCAACGCTGGCCCTGACGTGACGCGTTGTGGTAACTATTCCTGTATCCTGGCCAGACTATTCCTAGCCGAGAGAGTCCGGTATGCCGCGCAAGCGAGCGCGCGATGCTCGAAATGGCGCGCGCCTCAGCAATTATCAAAGCGCCACTCGTGCTCGCATTGAACTCCATTTCATATCTATCTATTCAATTATATTTCCTTTATCTAAGAACAACGAGAGAAAATGCATATCACACAATTGCTTATGCTACAAGCTACATGATGCGGTCGCGAAATATCAAAAATGTTTATCGCACGATAAATTCCAAAAGATCGGAAATCGAAAATGAAGGTACGGGGCGTGTAGTCGTGCGATCGTAGCTATATAGAAAAAAGAGGATGCTGGATTCAAATCTGGCTTTGACAACAAACGAATACTCGCGGATCGCCCTCGCGCGTCCGTGGCTATATCAAATCGCGTTCAACACCATCGAAACATTATATCCAAAGTATCCGCGAAGGTAATCGGCAATCGCACGACCCGGCTTTGGACTTACGAGTGTCAGTCGTGGCGCGCCAGGATAGCAAGATATTGGAGGGGGATAGCTGCTGATGGGACCGGTGGCATCGGAATCGCGGGACGCCACCGCGGTTCGAAAATAAAATTTGTCTCGCCGTTCGCCGTTGCGCGGAGAGAGAATCCGTTGATCGCGGGCACAGCCAACATTTCGAGTCCCGACCCGTGATGCTCCGGTACAGATATACGCGACTCTCGTAGATATAAAATCAACACTTTTATTTTACTTTCTCTGGTAATCATGGACCTCCCTGAAGACTAAATGCCATTCTGTATACGTTATAAAATTCGCTTACCTTTAAGCCCAATACATCTTCTCTTTCATTAGTTTTATGCTGAAAACAGAAAGAAAAAATTTTTTAAATTTATTTAATAAATTTAATTAGTTTAATTTTTAAATAATTTAATTAGCATTTCTGTGTCATTGCAAAAAGCTTAACTATTAGATATCACAATCATAATAAATAATAGACATAT